GTGTCAGGTCTGGTTCATCTGGGTGATGGGCCAGAGTGAAATGCTTATGCCGGTAATGTGAGGGATGTGTTGAACATGTTTTGGTAAAGGTATCGATGAGAGGCCATGTAGGAGTACATGGTGGGTTGTTTCATTGAGGCCGTCCCTAAGAACTGAGATCTGTATGTGTGATTTAAGATTCAGCTACTACCATGCATTGGGATCCTTAATTGACCCTCTCGGCTTCTTAACCACCCTAGTACTCTGTCCAGGAGTTGCAAATAGTTTCTGGTGTTTGTAGGTTATGTGTTGGCGGCCGTGCGTAGCGCTGACCCTAGGGGTGGGCTATGTTGCGGTAGATACACCGTGGCACGGTGTACCGAGTCATCCGTTTGGTGTCTCGGGAACCCTGTTCACATCGTTCGGGGCCGTATGTGGAAACCTCGGCCGAACTCCCTGCGGATGGAACCTGAATAGGCGATAAACCTGGACTAGAGACTTAAGTGTTTAGGTAGGCCGTGGCCGACACCCTCGCTGGGCTTCCGCTTGAAGGTTGTCGAGTACATGTTGTGTAAACAGCGGTAAGTGGTGAAAGCGTGTATGACGAAGTACACCCCTGTAGGGTATAAAACTATTCGAATAGCCGCGTCCGCGGTAAAGGACTACTTGGTTGCCTATACAGTTCATAGACAAGTTAATGGATACTACTAAAGGACTCAAGATAAGTGTGAGTATCGAGGATGGCCCTCTCGTAGGATGACGAGGGAGGATCCATGATGGAGTATTGTGTTGGTGAGTAGTGGACTCGTGTGCGAAAACTATTTTACTGGTGAAGTTCCATAGGATAGCTTAACCAAGAGTCAAAGCTGGCTTGCTACATTAACCCCACCACCTTCTTGAGAATAAGCATGTTTAGTAGGTTCTGATGTAAGACTTGCTGAGTACCTTTGTACTCATGTTTGCTTAATTACTGTTTTCAGACGACAACACCGCCCCCTCCGATGGGTTCTATGTAGACCTTGACGTCGACGATTGACTAGCCACCCAGGTGGTGATCCTGGCCATGGAGGGCCCTGTGTAGATAGACAGGCTTCGAGAAGCCTTCTTTCTTTCTAGAGTCTGTACTCAGACTAGTTGCTTCTGCATGTGCTTGTATGTTTGTATGACTTGAGTGTCGGGTCATGTGACCCCTATCTGTATGAACATGTTATGTATGGCTCCCTGGAGCCTTTAAATAAAGTACTTGAGTTGTAGAGTTTTGTTGTGATGCCATGTTGTATGTACTCATATCGAGCATATTGTGTGTATGATTGAAATGCTTGGTATGAGTGGGATCCGACAATATAGTTGTTTATCCTTGGCAGCCTTTCTTATGGGGAAATGTAGTCTAGTGTTCCTCGAGCCATAGTAGTCCGCTACAGCCCGGTTCACCGGAGTCCTGCTAGCCCAGCACTACTGTTCGGGACACTTGACTGGCCGGCATGTGTTTCACTTCGTTCCTATGTCTGTCCCTTCGGGGAAATGTCAGGCGGTGATTTCCGGAGTCCTGCCTAGCCTGCTACAGCCCGGGTCCCCCGGAGTCCTGCTAGCCCAGTGCTACAGCCCGGAATCACTCGCTGATGACCAACATGCTCGATGTGATACATGTATGCCTGTCTTCGTAGGTCTGTGCCGCTTTGGGTTCACGACTAGCCATGTCGGCCCGGGTTCTCTGACATATGGATGCTAGCAACACTATCATATACGTGAGCCAAAAGGCGCAAACGGTCCCGGGCCATGGTAAGGCGACACTCATGGGATACCGTGCGTGAGGCCGCAAAGTGATATGAGGTGTTACCGGCTAGATCGATGTGACTTAGAATCGGGGTCCTGACACTTATAATGCTACCGCCGTACTAAGCAAAATAAGATGAATAAAAGATACACATCACATGCAATCAAAATAGGTGACATGATATGGCCATCATCATCTCGTGCTTTTGATCTCCATCTCCAAAGTATCGTCATGATCTCCATTGTCACCGGCTTGACACCTTAATCTCCGTCATAGCGTCGTGCTCGTCTCGCCAACTATTGCTTCTACAACTATCGCTGACACATAATGATAAAGTAAAATAATTACATGGCGTTTGCATTTCATACAATAAAGAGACAATCATAAGGCTCTTGTCGGTTGCCGATAACTTTTATAGAACATGATCATCTCATACAATAACATATATCACATCATGTCCTGACCATACCACATCACAACATGCCCTGCAGAAACAAGTTAGACGTCCTCTACTTTATTGTTGCAAGTTTTACCTGGCTGCTACGGGCTTCTAGCAAGAACCGTTCTTACCTACGCATCAATACCACAAAGGTGATTTATCAAGTTTGTTGTTTTAACCTTCAACAAGGATTGGCCGCAGTCAAATTCGATTCAATTAAAGTTGGAGAAACAGCCACCCACCAGCCACCTTTATGCAAAACTAGTTGCATGTCTGTCGGTGGAACCGATCTCATGAATGTGGTCATGTAAGGTTGGTCTGGGCCGCTTCATCCAACATACCACCGAATCAAAATAAGACGTTGGTGGTAAGTAGTATGACGATCACCGCCCACAACTCTTTGTGTTCTACTCATGCATATCATCTACGCATAGACCTGGCTCAGATGCCAATGTTTGGAAACATAGCATGCAATTTCAAAAATCTCCTATGCTCACGCAAGATCTATCTAGAAGATGCATAGCAACGAGAGGGGAAGAGTGTGTCTACGTACCCTCGTTGAACGAAAGCGAAAGCCTTTGACAACGCAGTTGATGTAGTCGAACTTCTTCTATCTCCGACCGATCAAGCATCGAAAGTACGACACCTCCGAGTTCTGCACACATTCAACGCGATGACGTCCCTCGCCTTCTTGATCCAGTAAGGTGTCGAGGAAGTAGATGAGTTCCGTCAAACACGACGACATGGTGACGGTGATGGTGAAGTGATTCTTGCAGGGCTTCGCCTAAGCACGACAAAACTATGACCGGGGGTGTAAACTATGGAGGGGGGCGCCGCACACGGCTAACAATTGATGCTGTGTGTTCTAGCGGTGCCCCCCACATATATATAGATTGGAGGGAAGGAGAGGCAGACAATGGGGCGCCCCATGTAGGAGGAATCCTACTTGGGCGGCTCCCCAATTCGGCCTCCCCCCTTCCATAAGTTTCGGAGGGGGGAGGAAGGAGGAGGGAGGAGGGAAGGAAGGGGGAGGCCGAATCCCTCCCCTTCCTTCTCTCTTCCCCTCTTTCCTTGTCCTCCTATTACGGCCTATATGGGGGCACACCGGCCCCTTGTGGGCTAGTCTGTCCCTCTCTTGGCCCATAAGGTCTGTATCTTTGCCGGGGGTGCCCGGAACCCCTTCCGGTGATCCGATATGTACTCAATACCCTCCGGAACAGTTCAGGTGTCCGAATACTATTATCCTATATATCAATCTTTACCTCTCGACCATTTCGAGACTCCTCGTCATGCCCGTGATCTCATCCGCGACTCCAAACAACATTCTGTCACCAAATCACATAACTCATATAATACAAAAATCGTCATCAAACGTTAAGCGTGCGGACCCTACGGGTTCGAGAACTATGTAGACATGACCGAGACACCTATCCGGTCAATAACCAATACCGGAACCTGGATGCTCATGTTGTCTCCTACATATTCTATGAAGATCTTTATCGGTCGAACCGTTATGACAACATACGTTATTCCCTTTGTCATCGGTATGTTACTTGCCTAAGATTCGATCGTCCGTATCTTCATACCTAGTTCAATCTCGTTAACAGCAAGTGTCTTTACTCATTCCGTAATACATCATCCCCCAACTAACTCGTTAGTCACTTTGCTTGCAAGGCTTCTTATGATGTGCATTACCGAGAGGGCCCAGAGATACCTCTCCGATACTCTGAGTGACAAATCCTAATCTCGATCTATGCCACCCCAACAAACACCTTCGGAGATACCTGTAGAGCATCTTTATAATCACCCAATTATGTTGTGACGTTTGATAGCACACAAGGTATTCGTCCGGTATTCGGAAGTTGCATAATCTCATAGTCAAAGGAATATGTATATGACATGAAGAAAGCAATAACAATAAAACTGAACGATCAATATGCTAAGCTAATGGGTGGGTCTTGTCCATCACATCATTCATCACATCATTCTCCTAATGACGTGATCCCGTTCATAAAATGACAACTCATGTCTATGGTTAGTAAACTTAACCATCTTTGATTAACGAGCTAGTTTAGTAGAGGCTTACTAGGGACACAATGTTTTGTCTATGTATCCACACATGTATCAAGTTTCCAGTTAATACAATTCTAGCATGAATAATAAACATTTATCATGATATAAGGAAATATAAAATAACAACTTTATTATTGCCTCTAGGGCATATTTCCTTCAGGAACATGTCCGAGAAGAGAAGGACACAAATCATATGGAACATGCTCGTAAAGAAGCAGACACAAATCATCACGACCATGTACCACCGGGTGGAGAAGAAGCACCTTTTACCTGCTCGTCAGTGTTGAACCGCATGGCAAGGATAACTCGAAAGTGGGAATGATGGTGAGAGTTTGGGCGGTGAGATGAGACTGGCTATATAGGGCGACTGAATCGGCGGGAGGTGACCCCAATTCCTCCCATCGCTTTTCATGATACGCGTGCGAGCTCGCGCCATCTCCATCGTCGCATGAGCTCGGCGCCGCGTTTTCTCCCTGTAACGCCCGGGCCTGTCTAAGGGGAAACAACCGATTCAACCATTCCCAACGTGTGTGGCTGGGGTTTGTTTTAAGGTTCATGTTATGTAGGCAAGCAGTGAATACATACTATTAAACGGGTCATTTTTGCATGTTTGGGCTGCATGTAGGCAGCCAAGCACGTCCTTAGATAAAATATAGGACCCATTAGTTGGGAATATCCGATAATGAATGTTTTGCTGAGAAAAGAAAACATAATTAATTATTGAAGAGTAAAATAATGGAGGAGAGGTCTTGGTTCCTTCCTCCCTCCTTCCTGAAAACCCCGTGGAGTCGTGGTACGACCTGACCTGACCTAACAATCCTGCCCGGCAGGCATTCTCCTTCCCCCAATCGGCCTATCCCCCTCTTCACCAACCCATCCTCCCCTTTTACCATTTCCAACCCCAGAAGAGATTACCATCGTCCCCGTCGTCGTCGTCGTCATCATCCCATCCCCTCCCCCCTACCCCAGAGAACTCGTATAAAAAATGGGCGAGCCACCAAGATCCTGTCCTTTTGTGCGACCCGACTCCTCCAACTTGTAGCAGCTCCACGCAGGATAAAGAGGTTTGTGCCAATCTTTCCCCCAGTTCTTCCGTTCTCATTTCTTGGGCGAGGTTGCATCTTCCCCATGTGACACCTGAGAAAGTGAGAGCAAGATTTCTTCGCCCTTCTCTTTATTTTTTGCTTCACGCTTTGGCCATAAACCTCCCATAAAGCTCCTTTTTCTCGCTTCCTAATCTCGTCGACAGGGTTGGAAAGCCCAAGAATCCCCAGAGCCCCACTCCGAGATCCCGAGCTTTCTGCGCTGCTCCGTCGCAATCCACAGGAATCCCCATCGGAGGTGAGCGAGCTCCCCCTTTTTGACCGGTTCTTGATTGCATCCCGCCGCCGCGTCGCCGGTTTTCTGACCCCTCCTCGTTTCTTGATTCAAGGTTTCGCGGCCTCCGTGCGGTTCTTGATCCAGGGTGCGCGCCGAGGACTCGCCAATGCAGCCGGACGCGAGCGGCAACGCTGGCGGCGGCGCGAATCCGAGGCCGAAGCTGCCGCCGGTGGCCGCCGCGCCGGCGCCGTCCGGGCGGCCGGCGTCCGTGCTGCCGCACAAGACGGCCAACGTGCGGGACCACTACCGCATCGGGAAGAAGCTGGGGCAGGGGCAGTTCGGCACCACCTACCTGTGCGTGGCCAAGGAGGACGGCGGCGAGTTCGCGTGCAAGTCCATCCCCAAGCGCAAGCTGCTGTGCCGCGAGGACTACGAGGACGTCTGGCGCGAGATCCAGATCATGCACCACCTCTCCGAGCACCCCAACGTCGTCCGCATCCGTGGCGCCTACGAGGACGCGCTCTTCGTGCACATTGTCATGGAGCTCTGCGCCGGCGGGGAGCTCTTCGACCGCATCGTGGCCAAGGGGCACTACACCGAGCGTGCTGCAGCGCAGCTCATCAGGACGATCGTTGGGGTCGTAGAGGCATGCCACTCGCTCGGCGTCATGCACCGGGATCTCAAGCCGGAGAACTTCCTGTTTGCCAGCACTGCCGAGGACGCCCCGCTCAAGACCACCGATTTTGGGCTATCCATGTTCTACAAGCCCGGTATGTACTATGCTTCTATTGATTTACATGTGTAGTACTTTGTTCTTTCATGTGTAGTACTTTGTTGACCAGTTCGAGCTTTGTTGGCATAGCATATTTGATCAGGTTGATTTAAATGTCGATAGTGCTTTTATTCCTTTTGCTAGAGTAAGAATGCTTGCCATGAGGTGACATTGCTTTGAAAGTGGGAAGAACTGGTACTGGAACAGTGTTGGAGTTCCAGTTGGAAATTATGATAATTAGTGGGTTGTTGTAGTTGCCAACAAAAGGAGTGTCAGAAACAGTTCCTAGTATTAATGAATGTCAAGGGCAGTGCTTGTGTTATTGTGTGGTTTATCTCGTTGGAACCTTGAAGACTTGCCAAAACTTGTCTTCTTTTAGATATGATGGCTGCAAGATACTGAAAGGAACCGTGTAACTTTGTAATGTTCATAAGATTACTATTTCGGAACCTCATATGGGTAGGAAGACAAGTGCGTTCATATAACCAGACAACACTGGTTCGAATCTCTGAAGCAAGTTTAGACTAGTTACATGTTGTGAAATGTGTAGTACCCATTACTAGCAATATCATCAATCTAGTTGTTTCCGAAAAAATATCATCAATTTAGCTGTTATTCTAGTGTGCAGTCTTGATTTGATATTTTCATCTGGCGCTTCAAATGCTATGTTGTATATTTTGAGTCTTATGTTTTACTTAAAATTTTCTGTTTGAGCCGGACTAGATTTGTTGAAATATCTGCTTCCATTTCCTCAGGTGACAAATTCTCTGATGTTGTTGGGAGCCCCTACTATGTTGCACCTGAGGTGCTTCAGAAATGCTATGGTCCAGAAGCTGATGTCTGGAGTGCTGGGGTGATTCTGTACATTTTGCTATGTGGTGTCCCCCCTTTCTGGGCAGGTAAACTAGTTGCAGTTAAACCATCAAATTGGTAGGCCTCCATATTCTCATGTTCCTTCATGCATGTTTTCTTTTCAGAAACTGAAGCAGGAATCTTCAGACAGATCCTTCGAGGCAAACTTGATTTTGAGTCTGAGCCCTGGCCTAGTATCTCTGACAGCGCTAAAGATCTAGTCCGTACTATGCTTTGCAGGGATCCTACAAAGCGACTCTCTGCTCATGAGGTTCTTTGTAAGTGCACCTCCTCCTTATTACTCATGGAACTGGTAGATTTGGTGCTTTAGACAGGATATATTTTGATTTTTTGCTTCTCATACTGTCATTGCCTTTGATGCCTGTCAGGTCACCCATGGATTGTTGATGATGCTGTGGCACCTGATAAGCCTATTGATTCTGCTGTTTTGTCAAGACTGAAGCATTTTTCTGCAATGAACAAGCTCAAGAAGATGGCATTGAGGGTATGAATTTTCAATTGTCCATTCGTAAATTCACAACTTCTTTTTGAGCAGAAAACTGTAGGAAAACCCTAACAGTAAAGTTTTATTAAACAAGAGAAACATGTTACATGAATGTGCTAGTAAATGCACTAGCTAATTCTCCAGATGTAGGTTGTATCCATGTGGTTAATTGCTAAGTTACCTCAAATTTAATGCTTCGTTCCATTATTCTTAACAATAGTGTTGCCATATTTGCATCATATACCAATGCATGCCTATCGAAGTCCAAGCATCTCTGGCTACCATCAGTGCTGCTTTTTTCTGTTACCATACACATTTATGGAAGGAAATAGTGGAGCATCTTGACGTGCCTGCCTAATTTTCTCTATTTTGCTAGTCTTGGCCAACTTTGTTTTATCCAGATGGTTTTCTAGCTTTCTAGAATGATCTTGTTCAGATCCATATTATCATAGCAGATTATTGTTATACGACAGTAGTTAGTGTATCAATGCTGTTATTAGGTCCCCGTCTTTTTTCTGTTTGTTATTTGGTTGTGAACTAAATACATATATATGGAGTCTTGAGGGTTTATGGCTGTTGATGCATTATAAAGATTGCATAATTTCTCAGATACTTGATAAGCATTTTGCAACTTGCAATGCTCATCTTGAGCTGCTTATTCACAGATATTCATCTTACTATTATCATTTTTTTCTTCAGGTTATTGCTGAAAGCCTGTCTGAGGAAGAGATTGGAGGTCTAAGGGAGCTGTTCAAAATGATTGATGCCGACAATAGTGGAACTATAACATTTGATGAGCTGAAAGATGGCTTGAAAAGGGTGGGCTCAGAGCTAACAGAACATGAAATCCAGGCTTTAATGGATGCGGTAGGTGCTTCGTTACAAGCTAAATAAACGGTTCCTTCATTCAGAAAACGAGTATAACAGAATCTCTGGATTTTATGATTCATAATGGTATCTATCTATTTGTTTAAGGCGGACATCGACAACAGCGGAACGATTGATTATGGTGAATTCATTGCAGCTACATTGCACATGAATAAACTAGAGAGGGAGGAGAACTTGGTGTCAGCATTCTCGTTTTTTGACAAGGATGGAAGTGGATTCATCACCATCGATGAGCTATCACATGCATGCCGCAAATTTGGTCTGGATGATGTTCACCTTGAGGATATGATCAAAGATGTCGATCAGAACAATGTCAGTGTTTCTTCATACTAAATTCCACCCTGTCCCATCCCATGCATATATGTTTTGTTCGATTCCTGACTTGTCTGTTTGCCAATTAATCTCTGTGTTGTTTTCAGGACGGGCAAATCGATTACAGTGAGTTCACGGCGATGATGAGGAAGGGCAATGCGGGTGCAACAGGGAGGCGAACCATGAGGAACAGCTTGAATCTGAATCTCGGCGACATCTTGAATCCCAGCAACAGCTAAGTCGGCATGGGGAGGAGAAATGCCATACCTGGTGGATGCCATTTTGTGGAAGTTTTTGCATGCCTGATCAGCTGGACTACTACTAATCTAAGAGGGAAAGGGAGACAGATGGAGTCTCCTAGTAGTACTCAGTAGCTAGAGGGAGGGAATGGCGCACTCCTTTGGTTGTAACCGAATCTTAGACGCTGGATATGGAGGTGATGATGCGATGAACTGCATTATGTATTCCTGTGGTTGAACACTGTTGGTAGCCGGGGATTGCATCAACTTTTTTACTGTCACTTCTGTTTACTGTCAACTGTTGGTACAGTTGTTGAAAGGAATTCAGATGATGCCTGCTGGCTGGTCACCTTGTGTCTATTTTTTCCTATATAATGGGGCTACCTTGTCTATACAGTGACGAGGTAGTATAAAATTTCTGCACAAAGAAACTATTTTCAAACAATTTTGCACAAATTGAATCCGTTATCAATTTACCATAAACATGTCCGTTAACTGCACTATCTATCTATAGGCATAATGCTTTGTCCTTGGGGTTCGGGCCTTTGATTTTCTGAAAAAATCATCGTGTATGTTCTCTTCGTATGACAGAAAACATGGGTCAGTTTGTGTGATTGTGTCTCCATTGACTGAGAATCCCTTGAGTCGATCAACCTGGCCATCACGTGAATCAGTGACGCGACGTGTATGAAGGAGAAATCAGGCGATTTAGACTTAGCAATGTGTACTGAAATTCTGTTTGGTTATTTTATTTTATTTTGAAAGAATGGTCTACCTTATATACATTCAAAACGAGCCGTAGCCCGGGTGACCAGAGGTCAGTTACGTACATGATTTTGGTGGAAACAGAGAGCTTCCACGCACAACTTTGAAAATAGTTACATGGGGGTGCTTTACAGAAGTGAAACACAAGGCAGAAAAAATAGTAGCCTAAGCAACAAGAATCAAGTGGGAAGCCTCTGAGCCCACGATAAAAGAGTTGTTCTGTCCATTTGACGCCGTGCCCGGTAACTCCACAGTCTGGCCTCTGAGCCCACGATAAAAGCGTTAGAGCACAATACCCCCGGCAACCATCTTTTTGTTGTTGTTGAAAGTGCGATCATTCCTGGCTTGCCACGACGACACAGCACAAGCAGCAAAAAGTACACACCACATAGGCCCATATTTGTTTCCTTCACTGATGCGTTCCACAAACTCCGCATTATCAACAAACTCCGATATACCACTGTTGGAGTGTTGGTTCATACCCAAACACCACCACAAGGAAGACTGGCATCACCACAAAAGCCACGGCAATTGCGCAACACATCTACTTCCTTCATTCAAAATAAATGACTCAACTTTATATTAAATTTTAGTATAAAATTAAGTCATTTATTTTAGAACGGAGGGAGTAGGAAGGAACTGAGTGGCGGAAAGGAGCGAAGACACTACTTTTGCTTGCTTGCTGGGAAATTTGGCAAGGACGAAACCAATGCACCTTTCGAAAGAAGCTGCCATGCACACTAGGTATTTTTTTTTCGAAACACGGTCTTTTAGTGTCCGATTCATCAAAAAAGGTCAAAGAGAGTTGCTCAATTAATTAACGAAAAACTATGTGAAAACCACCACAACACGCTGCGTATAAAAAAGGCCCATAGGACGACCTGGCAACCCACACAAGAACTCCCCTAAAAAAAACCCACACAAGAACACATACACGCCGTTAAAGAGAAAAGTGCCGTCGAGGTTACAATCCGGTGTCATCGTCATCACACCCGCGCGAGGGCGACTCTGACTCCATCATCAATGACCATTGATGTATCCCTCGCCGCAAACAAGTGTTGCACCGGCCGATGCCAAACAGTCCACCACACACGCCAACAACCAGGCAGCTCCGACTCTGTCAACGAGCATTGCAGGCAAAAAACACTGGGCCTGCGCCGAGCCGATACTGCAACTGAGCACCGGTCTCGTGTCATCATCACCGCGGAGGCACCTCCTCTGCAGCTCCGACTTCAGGAAGACAAGTGAGGCACGGCAACCCCTCGAACACGACGGATGGGACTGACTACCAAAGCTCAGCATCCCAACTCCGCCCGAAGCCGCCATCGTTGCCACACAAGAAGTCGCTCCACAACACCATTGTCGGACGGACACTTGCCAACCGCAGTGCCGCGAGCGTCCAATCCATGGAGCGCGCAAACGGGATCCAATATTCTTCAAGACGGTGCTCCAAAGAAGGAAGCAATGATGTCGACGCCGTTGCCCGACCCGACTGGGCCTTAGACTTTCACCCAAAGAGCTGGAACCGAGGGTGTGTAGGGAGTGGACTCCACAGCGGCGCCTACAAGGAGGTGACACGATGTCTGCGGACACCAACGCCGTCGACCAGTAAGGCCCGACCTCGTTTAAATAGCGAGCGGATGCGAGGAGCCAACCGGCGTTAGGTTTAATGTCGGCCGGCTCACGAACGGATGTGTGGCCGGAGTAGGTTTCTCGGCACACGCGCGGGTTTAATGAAGGTAGGCGAGCAGTCTGTAGCCGTCTGAATACGGTGATCAGGGATGTTCAGCTGAGCGTGCAGCGGGCGGCGCTCTCTCGGTCGGCCGCCGCTTCAATGCGACAGTGAGAGGTCGCGTCCGCTTTGGGCCGGGGTCAATGCGAAGCGGCCACTCTAACAACAACATGAATGCGGACAGCTGACATCAGGCGGGAAAGCACGCGGACGAGGGAGAAGGATTTGGTGGGCCAACTTAGTCAGACGCGGATGCCACCCTCCTCTTCGGTTTGCGGGAAAAAATGCGTCTGAGCCGGCCTACAGACCGATGCAGGACTGTGTTGGATGGCAAAATACGTCCGCACTGTGGGATTGGGATAGTTGTGGATGCCCTTAGAGCATGTCTAACAGAGCCCTCAAACTGGTCAAACCCTCAAAATAACTATCAGTTTGAGGGTTGAGCAAAAAGGGCGCAGATCAGTACCCTCAAATCCCTAAACCCTCAAAAAAATTCCAAGCTGAACCCTCAAGTTCAAGGCCAACCTGCACTAGTGAGGGTTGGAGGACAATTTCCAGGCCCAACCCTCACTTGGTCAACGAGCTGCGCGGGAATGAAATTTCCCCAGCTGCCACTCACCACCGCGCCGCCGCCAGCCTTGGTCCGCGCCACCGCCGCCTGTTCTCGGCGCCGCCGCCGGCCATGGACCCCTCCAGCCCCCGGCCACCCCCTCCTCCGCTCCTCCGCCGCCGGCAACGGCCCCCGCGCCAACACCGGCGCCCGCCCTTGCCCCGCGCCTCCCGCCCCCGGCCACCCCGACCGCCGCCGCCGTCGTGGAGATGGTGGCGGCCACCCACGTCGGCCAAAAACAGTGGCGGGCGGGCACCCACGTCGACGAACAGCGACGGATTCCGGCGGTGAGCAGCGCACGACGTTGATGAAGACAGAGACGATTCCCTCGCTCTCGAGCATCCCGGCTCGATTCCCTCCGTGCAGACGAAGAGGACAACGAGACAGAGATTTTGAGGGTTGGTTTGAGGGCACTGATCTGCGCCAGGGATTTCCGGCCTTCAAAACGACATTTTTTCAGCCCTCAAACTGGTTTTGAAGGTTGAGTTTTTGAGGGCTCTTTTAGACATGCTCTTAGCCCGGTTTCAATCGTTAAAAACTTCCATGAGATGCCAGTTAAGCCGCCCCTTGGATTTCCTATAATCAAACCTGTACATGTTGAAATCATCCAGCAACAGCCATGGACCAGAAATGGTAGCAACCACCTGATTCATGATAGAGAAGAAATCCACTCCGCCAATTTCATCACAACTCACAAGGCGCATAGACGGTGGTAAGCATGAAGGACATGTTGCTGGTGCTAGAACTGAACTTAGCAGTGACGTGAAACTTATGCTTGCTGACAATTTGGCAGTCCACAACTTACTGATCCCAGGCAAGCAAAATAGCCCCGGTAGTACCTTCACCCGGCATGAAGGTGAAAGAACGTAGCCGATCAGAAAGAAACTCTCTCGCTTTAAGCATTGAAAACTGATGACAGTTTTGTCTACAACAGAGAATATCCGGATGACAGGAAGCAGTAGTTTGTCTAACAAGCGAGCACTTGTCCAAATCCCCCAACCCACGCACATTTCAGTTAATGATCTTCATAAAAGTTACTCCCTCCCATCCATAATAAGTATCGCAGTTTTGAGCTAAGTTTGAACTAACTTTACAACACTTATTTTGGATCGAAGGGAGTAATTAACATCTCCCCTATCGAAATGAACCACAAGAGGCCGAGGGGCTCAATGCTGTGCATGAGAATGTGGACGAATGCATGCCAAAGATAGTGCAAACTGAAGCCATGTACGTATTAATTCATAGATGCGTACAAAGTGGCGATACAGACTCATACCTATAACCAGAACAGCACTCCAAGGGGAAGAACATCCTTCAGGACAGAATCTGTCAAGAACTAAGATAATGCATCGCTGATGACTGAAGCTAAACCTGAAAGGCATGGAGGAAATAACAAAGCATGCTAAACTAAATGCAGATAACATACTAGAACATTCAGTAGGCTCCAGTACTGAAGAAGGAAGTGAGTTGCAGCTACTGATATCTGAACATAGCATCTCTGATATCCTGATTTTGACATGCCCGTTGCTCAAATTCGATTTGATGTTGCACAGAAAACGATGTTGCAGATATGACATTGGCCCTAAGTAGGAAGCTAATTAAGGTCAAAATGACCAGTTAGTCCGTGCTTCGTTTGTGTAGGTTTTCGTCCCTTTTTTCTTAAATTAATTGAGCAATTCTCTTCTTCTTAATTAATCGATGAGGCAAAATTTTTGCCTCCGTTTCGAAAAAAAATAGAAAGCTAATTGATGTTGTGTCTCCCTTTTTTCTTTTTCTTTTTGATTTTCATTTTGAGGGTACAGTTTTTTCTCTTTTCTGGAGTAAATTTTGCCTCTCCATTTTAAGAGCTCTTTTCTTTTTGAGGCAATCTCCATTTTAAGAGCTGGATTGGAATGGGCAAGTCTTTTTTGCGGGCCGTCCTGGAGCCCAGCCCACTAAGAAATTTAAGGGCTGTTTGGTTTCTAGCCACATCTTGCCATACTTTACCACATCTTACTTTAGACAAGTTTGATCAAGTTAGATGGGTGTTTGTTTCTAGTCACACCCAAGACAAGATTTTTTTTATGAGAAGTGAACCCCACATGTCATAGCATAAAATGTGTGACAAGATTCCCTTAGACAAGCCAAAGTGTGGCTAAGGGCCTGTGTTGGTTCATGACTAATTTTGCCAGAACCGAGTTTAGGCAAAGTATGGCTCACAAAATGGCCACCACAAGTGTGGCAAGATTTAGCAAAAAGTTGAGTCTATGACATGTGGATCAAGTGGCTAGAAAAGTGTGACAAGCCACAAATGTGGAAATAAACCAAACACATGCCTAAGCTATTGTGGCACGACTAAGGTTAGGTGTGGCAAGCTTAGGCTGCAAACCAAACAGGCCCTAATAATTTGAGCAACTCAAGTTAGGGGGTGTTTGTTTTCAGGGATTTTTTTGTGTAGGGAATAGAAAAAGTCTCTTTTAAAGACTTTTTTACCAAACGAGAGGGACTTTTTAGGGACTAAACTAGACATTTGGGACTAAATGAAGAAGACTCTCAAGGAGAGTCTTTTTGAGACTTTTTGGGGCTTTTTCAACAATGCTCCTCCATGCACCCATTGGTCCGCCACCCCATGATATTGTTTGATTGTTATTTTTTCTATATACTAAAGGTAACATGATCATTTAATAACCTCTAGAAAGGAATTAGGGACTTTTTAGTCTCTGAAAACAAACAGGAAAAGACTTTTTAGAGACTAAGGACTTTTTAATTAGGACTAGAAAAAATCCTAGGACTAAAGAACCAAATACCACCTTAGTCAAGTGTGACAAAAAGTAATGTGACAATGTATGGCAAATATAGCGCACCCCTTATGTCTACGTATATAGGAATCCTTAAAAAAATGCTAATTCTAAAAAAAAAGCTAAAAAACCCCTAAAAAGAGGACCCATCTATCCATCATCGAGCGCTAACCTCTTTTCATCCTCCGGCCTCCCGCGATGGCGCCGCCGCCGCCACGGCTGCTCGCCGGCGGCGACCACAGTCCGCCCCCCACGTCAACCTCCTCCCCGGAGCACCCTCTCCTCTCCGCGCACCTCCTCCTCCCCGACCCATCCCCCTCCGATCTCTCCTCCCCGCACCTCCCCCACGCCCTAGCCTTCTCCTTCCTCACCCACCCGTCCCCTCTCCCGCGCCGCCTGCTCCTGCTCCTCCACGCCGCCGGGGGCCGCTTCCCCGCCTTCTACCACTCCTTCGCCTCCGCCCTCCTCTCGCTCCCCTTCCCGCTCCTCCTCCCCCACCCACGCGCCCGCCTCCTCCTCGCCGCCGCCGAGCTCACCCGCGCGGCCGCGCCGGGCTTCGCGCCCCTACTCCTGTCCCTCCTCCGCCGCGTGCCCTTCCCCGGAGACGCCCGCCTCCTCGACCACATCCGCGAGCATTCCTCCTTCCTCGTCGCCGAGGAGCCGCAGCTCCTCGCCTCCGCGGTCTTCGCGTTCCTCCGCCTCCTCGCCAGGAACCGCCTCGCTCCGTTCCCCAGGAGCGCCGAGTGCAGCAACTGCGAGGAGTGCAAGAGCGCGAAGAACCTCGAAGAGTGCGGAGAGAAGCTGGTGTCCTTCTGCGTCTCGGTGCTGCGGGATCACTTCCAGGTGTGCACGCTGATCGGGAGGGACCTTGTGCGATCGCTCCATGAGCTGGTGCTCGTGCCGGAGTTCCAGGGACTATGGAAAGACTTGATCCTGGCCCGAAACGTTGACATCTGCCGGGTTGTCACTCCAGGTTGGTGCACAGCCTTGTCTATCTCGCCGGAGATGGAGACGCAACTGCTGTTCTTGATGAACAATGTGAAGTGGGGAAGCCAGAAGAGGTACCAGCTGTGGTTTGCGAGGAAGCATTTGATGGTGCCTGGAGGGGAGGAGAGGATACCGGACATTGTCCGCTTCATATGCTGCGGGTACCTCCCGACCAATGAGGTTATACAGTCTGGTGTCATTGCCCGCTGGGCGGTCATCGGTTGGTTGCTGACTAGTTGCAGCAAGGGATACATCGTAGCGAATGCGAAGTTGGCGCTGTTCTATGACTGGCTGTTTTTTGATGAGACTAAGGGTAACGTCATGAACATTGAGCCAGCAATGCTTCTGATGTTGAACTCAATATCTCAGTATGTAGATATCACAAACATGCTACTCGAGTTCTTATTTCTCCTGATTGAGAACTATGAGGTGCGGAGGAAGGAGGCCATCGAGCAGTCTGTGAGGTGTGCATTTACAGTGCTGGTGAAGAAAGGAGTGCTCCCGTCATTGGAGTTGTTGACATGCTGCGAGAAGCTATCGCCACTGCTTAGGCAGAAGCTTGTGGCATTTTTATCTAGTACAACTCCTGTAGCAGCTGTAGAAGCCTGCTTGAAACCGATTAATGAGGTTTCTAAAGCAGCAGAGTTGAAGAAGAGAGTTTGCTCAAACTAGATGCCACAACCTCCTGTTTCCAGAATGAACTGCAGTCAACACCAATCCACCAATAATTCCACCTTGCGAATGATCTGAGAAGGCACACAGAGAGCAACTGCAAGACCACACCAATTTACAAGTAATTCAGGTGAAGGGCATCCCTTGAGCAAGAAAAAGGAATTTGGAGTGTGGGCTCATCATCAGCTTGCCCAGAATATGTCCAATAAAAAGACCACTCTGCCATTCAAACTAAATTAGATCTCAGTATCAACTCCGTTCAATTAATACTGAGAATGCCATAATATATGGTCATCATGACCAGGATGCTTGATTTTAAATTTCTGCCGGTTGAGAATTAAGACAAGTCAAGAGTTTGGTCAACCCATGGCATCTCTGATTAATATGCAGAACATATGTTCATCTGAAGCACATAATGAATTTGGCTGAATGATAGGCTGCTGCTCGTGATTCATTACAAGTTAGCTTCAAATGTGATGAATTGAAATGCTGGCAGCAAAGGAACTACTCTCTGCACAAACTCATCATCTGCTTCAACTGATGAAAGAAACCTCATGCCCCTTTTGACAATTCTGAGATAAATACACAATATAAGGATTGAATGCTGTGATCAGAGTTCAGACCTGGTGGCATGTCCGCATGTGCCGCACGACATCATGCACATCAAGCTTGTGATAGCGAGTGTTTTTGTTCAGGCATGCTAATACACTTTATGGGAGAAGTCACATACACCATAGGCAGTCTCTATGGATGTATTTCTCCCGAGTTATAGGACATCATCTGATCTAAGTAGGCCAACCTTGTGTACTTGTAAACATTTTGTAATTACCGGCTTTTGTTATTCAGTAGTGAAATCCCTTTCATCGTATTTTGTGTCTTGTCCTTTTATTGAGGGCACTAGGTGCCACATACCAACTCGCTCTCTGATGTTAATGTTTATGGTGAGTAGACAAAGGTGCCAAATTCCTTTTCTGCTTTACACTTTAAACTACACCTCCAGTCTGGAAAATATGCATATTTGTATCCATATTTCTCTGTTTTTCTCCTAGCCAGTGTGACACTTCCCAGTTCCTACTAATGCATTTTGATAGGAAATACTATGACATCAAAATTCAGACATTTTGGTAAGGCTAGGGAAATCATTTTTTCCTAAATGAAAGCATCATATCAAGATTCATGGGGTCAAGGGATGATACAAGATTGTTACAAGGCACTGGGGCACAAGGAGAAGCAGGACTCTGTCGCAGAAACAGTACAAAGAATGGTGTGCCACACAAACCACAGCTCGAGTTGTTATCACCAAAAGACTGACTGAGAAAACTGATTTATTCCACGGAATCAACGGTTACTGGACAAATACATGGATGCAATATATCAGGGCATCTCGACCGTCAGAAGACGCTTATGGGCGATAACCCTTGGTGAAATGCACCCACAGAATCGCAGAACGGTTCATCAGCCAAGGCCAGGGCGATAACCCTTGGTGAAATGCACCCACAGAATCGCAGAACGGTTCATCAGCCAAGGCCAATCCTTAAGGCCAAGAACATTCAGACAATATTTATGGACCGCATAGCGCAAACAAGAAAAGAAAATCAGCATTATAGAGGTTTTACATGGTACACAGAAAAGGGAACGAAATCATAGAGACAGCCATGTGGCAGAGCCAGGACAAAAAAGAGGTGGCAAGAGGATTGGAGCAACCAAATCACAGCCATCCATATCCAAAAGGCCAACCTCCGCCTCACAACTCATATCCCTTGTGCGCCCAGGTGCTCACCCTTATATCTCAGCGGTTGCTGCACTTCTCACCCCCCCTAAGGAAAGGCTGCAATTGTAAGGCGTGTCAAAGAAGAGGGTAGCACCTGATCTGCTTGCTTCCAGAAACAATGGCGTCTGCTACTCTCCTCAAATCGTCTTTCCTTCCCAAGAAGGCCGAATGGGGCACCACGCGCCAGGCCGCCGCCCCCAAGCCGGTGACCGTCTCCATGGTTGTCCGTGCCAGCGCATACGCCGATGAGCTTGTCAAAACCGCGGTATGCTTTCTTAACACCAACAGTATAATTCTAAAATTTTGCCATGCATATGCGTGTATTGGTTTGATCCTTGATGGGCAGTAACTTCTGGTGAGAATCCTCTTTACATCAGTGGGAAGGGGAGATCTGGATGTATTGTCAATACAGAAACTACCAGTGATAAATCAAATGTATTCTTATTAGGACGAACAGTTAACCTAGTACCGCTTATCATAATCCCTTCGACATAAGACGGATGTTTTGTCACGCAGAGGAAATTGTTTGGCTGCTTTTGATCACACCAAAATCACTAGTCTAAATGAACATGCATAACATATGTTTTCGATATTGCATTGGTACAGTAACTTTTCTATCTTCACCGCAGCGAGCTAAATAGATATGATTGATGTTGTGTTGTACCAAAAAAGAGCTTGTGAAAATCCAAACATAAACGTGATGTGTTTCTCGATTAGACATCTGCAGTAAGACATGACACGGGTTAATCACCACTAGCTTAACGATATGGCAGGATGCATCATGGCGCACAGAAATTAAACAACTCGCATTCCAGTGATATCATTGTTTGAATCCATGTGTCCGGCTTAAGCTGAGCAATCCATCTGAAGGTTCATAAGTCATAACAAAACTACATAGTTTCTTCTAAACTTTAAATCTTTGATAGCATAAATCATCAAGTTTACAACAGTAAAATTTCTACCAAACGAGCAAAGGTTTCATTCGGTTATGGACTTATGGTTCAGAAGATCTCAAGCTTTATTCTTCCTGCTGCAGAAAACCATCGCATCGCCAGGCAGGGGTATCCTTGCCATGGATGAGTCGAATGCCACCTGTGGCAAGAGACTTGCCTCGATTGGCCTTGAGAACACCGAGGCTAACCGCCAGGCTTACCGGACCCTTCTTGTCACTCCACCAGGCTTGGGAAACTACATCTCTGGTGCTATCCTCTTTGAGGAGACGCTCTACCAGTCGACTGTTGATGGAAAGAAGATTGTTGACATCCTTGTCGAGCAGGGAATCGTTCCCGGTATCAAGGTTGACAAGGTAGGCTGTCCACTGATTTCACTCCAAATTGGCACATGCATTCCCTTCTTAGAGCCTTTTTTAATTAAAACAATTCTAAACTGAAGATCCAAACTGCTACTATTACTAATGCATCAGAACAATCATATGTGCTCATGTGACTAGCTATACATTACAAGCAAAAACTGATGATCCCGGGTTTATTTCAAGCTTAGAAACAAAACATTCTTCTAAACTGGTGCTCATTCTCAGGGTCTTGTGCCACTTGTTGGTTCCAATGATGAGTCGTGGTGCCAAGGTCTCGATGGCCTTGCCTCCCGTGAAGCAGCATACTACCAGCAAGGCGCTCGCTTCGCCAAGTGGTTAGATATTTGCTCCTACAAGGACAGTTTACCTTCCTTTAGGTCACCCTAGCTGACATGAAGTTCTCTTGCAGGCGCACTGTTGTCAGCATTCCTAACGGCCCATCTGAGCTTGCTGTCAAGGAAGCTGCCTGGGGTCTTGCCCGTTACGCGGCCATCTCACAGGTATTGTTCCCATTTCCTAACAGTCCAAACTTCTACAGCACAATGGTCAGGCACAACATTCTAATGGATATGTAAACCTCTTGTTTGTTGATGTTCTAGGACAATGGGCTGGTGCCGATTGTGGAGCCTGAGATCATGCTCGACGGTGAGCACGGCATCGAGAGGACCTTCGAGGTCGCACAGAAGGTGTGGGCGGAGACCTTCTACTACATGGCTCAGAACAACGTCATGTTTGAGGGCATCCTCCTGAAGCCAAGCATGGTGACCCCTGGTGCTGAGTGCAAGGACAGGGCCACCCCTGAGGAAGTAGCCAGCTACACCCTCAAGCTCCTCCAGAGAAGGATCCCCCCTTCCGTCCCCGGCATCATGGTGAGCAGAGCACCCTCCCAAACCTAAGTGCACAATCATGAATATAAGATTATGTTGACAAGACACTATCCTCGACAACCAATTTGCATGGTGACATAGTAACTAACTCAAAAGTGCCAAAATAGTATGCCTTCAGAAATCCACATACCATTATATTATTTCTGCAGAAGCTTACATCCTATGTTGTTTCTTTTCTGTGGTGGTGCAGTTCTTGTCTGGCGGTCAGTCGGAGGTTGAGGCAACGCTGAACCTCAACGCGATGAACCAGGCGCCGAACCCGTGGCACGTGTCCTTCTCCTACGCGCGGGCGCTGCAGAACACCTGCCTCAAGACGTGGGGCGGGCGGCCGGAGAACGTGGCCGCGGCGCAGGAGGCGCTGCTGCTGCGCGCCAAGGCCAACTCCCTGGCGCAGCTCGGCAAGTACACCAGCGACGGCGAGGCCGCGGAAGCCAGCGAGAACATGTTCGTCAAGAACTACAGCTACTGATCCGTCGGCGAGCTGTCTATCTAATAATCTACCGCATCACTGTCAGCCAGTAGCGCCTTGAGCAGCTTGAGGGCGCCTTAGCCAGCCAGTGGGTCGTCGTTGTTACAGGTCGAGACCAGCTCTGATGGAAGAGATGGACAGAGAGTATATACTGTGTTTTGCCACCCTAAGTAAACTACTTTGGAATGGTCCTACTGTTGTATTCGCATGGTTTTTTCTAGAGCATTGTTGCCTTTGTTTGCTACCGTAAGTATGAACAATCTGAAGCGCCCCCCCTTTGGAACGCGGTAATTTTTCTGAGATATTATTTCTATCGGGTTTGCTATTTCACATCTAGATGTAAAATAACTATCTCGCATTTAAATCTAGAATCGTTGGATTATTTGTCTTTAATATTTGTGCAAAATACAATGGTCTAGTTGATGCGCTGTCTCGCGCTGCCTGTGTCCAGGTCGTTACTGGTCGAGGTTGGTCCGTTGTTGATTTTCACGAGCCTATACTCCTGAAGGTCGTTGTTGGTGCGAGGTTTGATTGCCTTTTTATATTTCTTTTCAAAAGTCT